GGGCCCAGCTCTTAGGACAGCCCTCACGGATCCTCCCAGTCCCCTGTGAAGAGAAGCCTGGAGGAAAACCAACGCCCTGCTTGTGCAGGGTGGGGAGACCGAAGGAGACCCCATCTGCCCAGGTGTCAGGGGACCAGCCCCTCAACACCACCCTAGCCTCTCGTTTCTTTCTCCTGAATCTTCCGCAGACCCCCTCCCCTGGCCATCCCTTGTCCCTGGGGAGCCCTGACTGGGAAGGGGATGGGCAGGCTGGGCAGGACTCCGGTTTCTTGTGCCCGGAAAGACTACAGTTTGAGCCAAGCAGCAGATGTCTCAGGCACATGGGTTCTACGGACGGGGCTCAAGCATTAGTTTCGTCATCAGAAAGGGGGCTCCCTGTAGCTGCTTAGCCCGAAGCAGGGCTCACACTTTCGAAGGTGGTTTCTCCTCCGCCTTGGAGCCAGGCAAGCCGTTCTCCGTGTTGTCGTTCCCTGAGGAGCTCACGAGACACTCCTTCCTAGAGAGGGAGAGAGAGGGGACAGTGGTGAGGAGAGGAGCAAGAGTAGGGGGAGAACTGTGGTGGGAGCCGTGGGCCCTGCACCCAGCCCTATGCCTCTCCCTGGCCTTCTGCAGAGCTAAGGTAGCCAGAGGCCATGTCACCTAACCTCTCTGTACCTCAGTTCCCTCATTTGTGAAATAGATGTAGGGATGACACCTTCTGCATGGGGTTGCTGGAAGCAGAAATGAGTACTTAGAACAGTGTCTGGCATGTAGAAAGTTCTCAACTGGCCAGGAGCAGTGGCTTATGCCTGTAATCCCAACACTTTGGGAGGCCAAGGCAGGCGGATTACTTGAGGTCAGGAGTTCGAGACCAGCCTGGCCAACATGGCAAAACCCCGTCTCTACTAAAAATACAAAAATTAGCCAGGCATGATAATACGTGCCTATAGTCCCAGCTACTAGGGAGGCTGAGGCAGGAGAATCACTTAAACCTGGGAGGCGGAGGTTGCAGTGAGCTGAGATCGTGCCACTGCACTTCAGCCTGGGCAACAGAGTGAGACTGTCTCAAAAAGAGAAAAAAAGAAAGTTCTCAATAAAGCTTAGCTGTCACCTAGTTGTCTCAACATGGCAGAAAGCAAAAGGCACCAGGTGCTGTTCCCAGGGGTCCATTCCCAGGCTGTGCCACAGCAGGGGGAGGGGTCCAGGCCAGCAAGAAGTATGGTGAGGACGGAGTCCCTCTCCCCAGGCCCCCTACGCCTTCCTCCCTGAGCTCTCTGTGACCAGCGGTATTAAGAGAAGAACAGAGTCCATGGAAGGGGCAGAGCAGGCAGTGGGTTTGGCTTCAAGCCAGGTCTGGGCAGAGTTTGGTGGGATGGAGCAGAAGACAGCAGGAAGGAGAGATGGTCAGATGGGAAGACACCTCCTGGGAGCCGTTCCACCCTGACTGCCCTGAGCTGGACATGCTCCGACTTCAGTGTGTCCCTCCTCCACCGCAGTGCCCAGGACTTCAGGCACGCACATCCAGCTTAGCATGTTTTGTTTTTAGTAAACTCACTGTGGGCTGGGTGCAGTGGCTTAACCCTGTAATCCCAGCACTTTGGGAGGCCGAGACGGGCAGATCACTGGGTCAGGAGATTGAGACTATCCTGGCTAACACGATGAAACCCTGTCTCTACTAAAAAATACAAAAAACTAGCCAGGCGAGGTGGTGGGCTCCTATAGCCCCAGCTACTCGGGAGGCTGAGGCAGGAGAATGGCGTGAACCCAGGAGGCAGAGCTTGCAGTGAGCTGAGATCCAGCCACTGCACTCCAGGCTGGAGGACAGAGCAAGACTCCATCTCAAAAAAAAAAAAAAAAAAAAACACAACTCACTGTGACTCTGAAGGAACACTGTTGTCTTTTCTAGGTGCTTGTAAACCATATATTGACAAATATGTTCTCCATCCATCGATAGTAAGACTGGTTATTAAAAACAGAACGTAGTCAAGCTCCACACTTCTGGCCCCTCACAAGATCACCAAAACCCTCACAGCCTCTGGCCACAAGGCAGGCAGACAACCCTGGAGCTCTTCATCAACAAACCAGTTCTGGGGTCCTCCCCTGGTCCACAGCCCCAGTGTTGCTACCTGTACATCCCCTCCCTACCTCCAACTTCCACTCCCTCTTTCCAGAGTAAGTTCTGCCCTTTCCAGAGGAATTCCCTCTTCTCAGCAGAGCAGAATGCTTCAGCAAACAGGAGCAGAGCAGAGCATTTCTCCCTTCTCTGGATCTCGTGGTTACCATCACCCTCTCTGTTCCAATGGGAAGCCATCTCGTCACATCTATCTTGCTCAGGACACAACTTTCAAATGCCTTTTCCCTGCTCTAGTTTTGCAACGTTCACCACATGCTGCTCTGGAGCCTGTCTGATACTGTTCCAAAAACTCTAGGCTTGAGGGTTGTACCCTCCGTACCTCCCTATCCTCCCTCCCCTTCCCCTTATAGATGTCTATTTTTATACCTGAACTTTTCCTAGGGCTCCCTGGGAGGCCATAGCTGCCATTTCAAACTTTTAAAAAATCACCCCCTACTGAAGTTTCAGAATTTCCTAACAGAAGAATTTCACTCCCATCTCCCTAGAAGGGTCTTCCCATTTTAGAGTCTCTGTACATGAAATCTTATATTTTCTCTGATTTTTTCAAAGGCTCCCTGAGTCCTTTGGTAAGGCTCTCAGTTGGGTGGTACAAATGGAAAGAGAGGCTAATGGGACGGGAAGGAAGACAGTGGGATGAGGAAGAGTAGGTGGCTGGCGTTTGTGTATTCAATGAATTGAACGTATTCAATAAATACACATTGGGAGGATGGGGAAGAAAGAAAGCAAGGAGGGGGACTGAGAGATGGGGTGGGGGTGGCAGGGATAGAACAGAGAGCGGTAGGAATGGGAATGGGGGGAATGAGGAGGCAGGTGGAAGGCTGAAAGCTGATGGGGGTAGATGAGAGGGTGGTGGGCTGCTGGGAGGACAGGAGTGTGCTCCAGGTCAACTCACTTCTTCTCCCGAGTCTTCTTCAGGATGAAGACGATGAGTTTCTTGATCAGCAGGATGAGAATGAGGAGCCCGATGACCCCGCCCACGACAGCCAGAATTATGAGTGTCACTGTGTTGTCCACTTCTTCCACTGTGTGGCCCGAGTAGGGAGGAAAGGGAAGGCACAAAGGGAGCAAGGGTTACCTGGAGTCGAGCACCGTGGCAGTACAAGGGCCATGTAGACTCCACCCCCTGGCATCTGGGGCACATCCACTCCCAGACCCCCAGCCTTCCCCAGGCCTGCAGCAGGAAGCTGGAGAGGCAGAGCATGGCATCCATCAGGCTAGGGCACACATAAGGGGCCCTCTCCCCCACCCCTCACATGCCCTCCCGCAGATGTGCTCACACAAGTTCGGGAACAAATCAGAATTGGAGCCCATAACACTCAAGTTTGAGTGGTGACTTGATCCCGAAATTACCAGAAGAAAATTCCATTGCCTCTTTCTAGACCTCCCTTACTCACCCACAAAAAATTAAGAACCTCCCTATGATACCTCTTAGATGGTGAGAAGCGTTTGGAGTCAGATAGTCTGAATTTCAAGTACGGGATTTAACTGTCACTAACTAGCTGGCAATGTTGGGCAGGTAATTGAACCCCCCTAGCCTCGTTTTCTTCATCTGAAAACTGAACTCCTGACTGATTCCCGAACCTGCTCCACCCAGTCTTCCTCCTCTCCACCAAAGAGACCAGACCAGACCAAACCAGACCAAATGAGACCAGATAAGACTAGACCAAAGGACACAAGACCAGACCAGACAAGACCAAACGAGAGCAAACCAGACCAGACGAGACCAGATCAGACTAGACCAAACCAGACCAGACCAAACCAGACCAAACCAGACCAGACCGGACCAAACCGGACCAAACCGGACCAGACCGGATCAAACCGGATGAGACTGGACCAAACCGGACCACACCGGATCAGACTGGACCAAACCGCATCAGACCAACTGGATCAGACCGGACCAAACCAGACAGAACCGGATCAAACCGGATCAAACCGGATCAAACCGGATCAGACCAGATCGAACTGGATAGAACCGGATCAGACTGGACCAGACCGGATCAGACCGGATCGAATCCGGTCTGATCCGGTTTGATCCGGTTCCATCCAGTCTTTTCTGGTTTGTTCCGGCTCCATCTGGTTTGAACCGGTCTGATCCGGTCTGATCCGGTCTGATCCGGTTTCATCCGGCTTCATCCGGTTAGACCCGGTCTGATCCGGGCCCATCCATTTTGATCCGGTTCCATCCGGTTTTATCCGGTTTGAACTGGTTATATCCAGTTTGATCCGGTCCCATCTGGTTTGATCCGGTTTGATCCGGTTCCATCCGATCTTAACCGGTTTGTTACAGTTCCATCCAGTTTGATCCGGTTCCATCCGGTCTGATCCGGATCCGGTTCGATCAGGTTCCATCCGGTTCGATCCAGTTTGGTCTGGTTCAATCCGGTTCGAAACGGTCTGATCCGGTCTGATCCAGTTCCATCCGGTTCGATCCGGTTGCATCCGGTCTGATCCAGTTTGATCTGGTTCCATCCGGTCCGATCCGGTTCTATCTGGTTCGATCCGGTCTGATCCGGTGTGATCCGGTCTGATCCGGTTCTATCCGATCTGATCCGGTTTGATCTGGTTCGATTCGGTTTGATCTGGTCTGATCCGGTTCTATCCGGTTCGATGAGGTCTGATCCGGGTTGATCCATTCTGATCCGGTCTGATCCAGTCTGATTCGGGTTGATCCATTCTGATCCGGTCTGATCCGGTCTGATCAGGTCCGATCCGGTGGTCCAGTCTGATCCGGTCAGATCCGGTCTAGTGCAGTTTGATCCGGTGTGTTCGATTTCGTCTTTTCTGGTCCGGTTTTGTCTAGTCTTATCTGCTCTCGTCTGGTCTGGTCCGTTCTAGTCTGATATGGTCTAGTCCAGTCTGATATGGTCCGGTTTAGTCTGGTCTGGTCTGGTCAGGTTTGATCCGGTCTGACCCTGTGTGATCCGGTCTGATCCGGTTTGATCCGGATCTATTCCTGGATCAAACCGGTTCAAACCGGATCAAACCGGATCAAACCGGTTCAAACTGGATGGAAACGGAAACCGGATCAAACCGGTTCAAACCGGATCAAACCGGATGGAACTGGATCACACCGGTTCAAACCGGATCTAACCGGATGAAACCGGATCAAACCGGATAAAACCGGATCAAACCGGATCAAAGCGGCTCAAACCGGATCAAACCGGATGGAACCAGTACAAACTGGATGAAACCGGATCAAACCGGTTCATACGGGATCAAACCGGATGGAACCAGTTCAAACTGGATGAAACTGGTTCAAACCGGATCAAACCGGATGGAACCGCTTTAGGCTGGATGGAACCGGCTCAAACCGGATGGGACCGATTCAAACTATATCTAACCGGTTGAAACCGGATCAAACCGGATGGAATGGGTTCAATCCGGATGGAACCGGATCAAACCGGTTCAAACCGGATGGAACTGGTTCAAACCGGATGAAACTGGTCCAAACCGGATGGAACCAGATGGAAGCGGACCAAACCGGATGAAACTGGTTCAAACCGGATGGAACCGGTTCAAGCCGGATGGAACCGGTTCAAGCCGGATGCAACTGGTTCAAACCGGATCAAACCGAATGGAACCGCTTCAAGCCGGATGGAACCGGTTCAAACCGGATGAAACAGGTTCAAACCGGATCGATCCGGATCAAACCGGTTGAAACCGGATCAAACCGGATGGAACTGGTTCAAACCGGATGAAACCGGTTCAAACCGGATCAAACCGGATGGAACCGGTTCAAACCGGGTGAAACCGGTTCAAACCGGTTGGAACGAGATCAAACTGGTTCGAACCGGATCGAAACGGATCAAACCGGATGAAACCGGTTCAAACCGGATCAAACCGGATGGAACCGGTTCAAACCGGATGAAACCGGTTCAAACCGGATCGATCCGGATCAAACCGGTTCAAACCGGATGAAACTGGTTCAAACCGGATCAAACCGGATGGAACCGGTTCAAGCTGGATGGAAACGGCTCAAACCTAATGGGGCCGGTTCAAACTATATCTAACCGGTTGAAAGCGGATCAAACCGGATGGAACGGGTTCCATCCGGATGGCCATCCGGATGGAACCGGATCGAACCGGTTCAAACCGGATGGAACTGGTTCGAACTGGATCGATCTGAATCAAACCGGTTCAAACCGGATCAAACCGGATGGACCCGGATCAAACCGGATGGAACCGGTTCAAACCGGGTGAAACCGGTTCAAAACGGTTGGAACCAGATCAAACCGGTTCGAACCGGATCAAACCAGATGGAACAGGCTCAGACCGGATCGAACCGGATCAAACCGGTTCAAACCGGATCAAAACGGATGGAACCGGTTCAAACCGGATCGATCCGGATCAAACCGGTTGAAACCGGATCAAACCGGATGGAACCCGATCAAACCGGATGAAACTGGTTCAAACCGGATCAAACCGGATGGAACCGGATCAAACCGGATGAAACTGGTTCAAACCGGATCAAACCGGATGGAACCGGTTCAAACCGGATGGAACCGGTTCAGACCGGATCGAACCGGATCAAACCGGTTCAAACCAGATCAAACCGGGTGAAACCGGTTCAAACCGGTTGGAACCAGATCAAACCGGTTGGAACCGGATCAAACCGGATGGAACCGGATCAAAACGGATGGAACCGGTTCAGACCGGATCGAACCGGATCAAACCGGTTCAAAACAGATCAAACCGGGTGAAACCGGTTCAAACCGGTTGGAACCAGATCAAACCGGTTGGAACCGGCTCAAACCGGACGGAACCGGCTCAGACCGGATCGAACCGGATCAAACCGGTTCAAACCGGATGGAACCGGTTCAAACCGGATCAAACCGGTTGAAACCGGATCAAACCGGATGGAACCGGATCAAACCGGATGAAACTGGTTCAAACCGGGTGAAACCGGCTCAAACCGGTTGGAACCAGATCAAACCGGCTGGAACCAGATCAAACCGGTTAGAACCGGATCAAACCGGATCGAACCGGATCAAACCGGTTCAAACCGGATCAAACCGGATGGAACCGGTTCAAACCGGATGAAACTGGTTCAAACCGGATCGATCCGGATCAAACCGGTTCAAACCGGATGAAACTGGTTCAAACCGGATCAAACCGGATGGAACCGGTTCAAGCTGGATGGAACCGGCTCAAACCGGATGGGACCGGTTCAAACTATATCTAACCGGTTGAAACCGGATCAAACCGGATGGAACGGGTTCAATCCGGATGGAACCGGATCGAACCGGTTCAAACCGGATGGAACCGGTTCGAACCGGATCGATCTGAATCAAACCGGATCAAACCGGATGGACCCGGATCAAACCGGATGGAACCGGTTCAAACCGGGTGAAACCGGTTCAAACCGGTTGGAACCAGATCAAACCGGTTCGAACCGGATCAAACCAGATGGAACAGGCTCAGACCGGATCGAACCGGATCAAACCGGTTCAAAGGATCAAACCGGATGGAACCGGTTCAAATCGGATCGATCCGGATCCCACCGGTTGAAACCGGATCAAACCGGATCGATCCCGATCAAACCGGTTGAAACCGGATCAAACCGGATGGAACCGGTTCAAACCGGGTGAAACCGGATCAAACCGGATGGAAACGGTTCAAACCGGGTGAAACCGGTTCAAACCGGATGGAACCGGATCAAACCGGATGAAACCGGTTCAAACCGTATCAAACCGGATGGAACCGGTTCAAACCGGATGGAACCGGATCAAACCGGATGAAACCGGTTCAAACCGTATCAAACCGGATGGAACCGGTTCAAACCGGATGAAACTGGTTCAAACCGGATCAAACCGTATGGAACCGGTTCAAACCGGTAGGAACCAGATCAAACCGGTTCGAACCGGATCAAACCGGATGGAACCGGCTCAGACCGGATCGAACCGGATCAAACCGGTTCAAACCGGATCAAACCGGATGGAACAGGTTCAAACCGGATGGAACTGGTTCAAACCGGATGAAACTGGTTCAAACCGGATCAAACCGGATGGAACCGGTTCAAGCTGGATGGAACCGGCTCAAACCGGATCAAACCGGATGGAACCGGTTCAAGCTGGATGGAACCGGCTCAAACCGGATCAAACCGGATGGAACCGGTTCAAGCTGGATGGAACCGGCTCAAACCGGATGGAAACGGTTCAAACGGGGTGAAACCGGTTCAAACCGGATGGAACCGGATCAAACCGGATGAAACCGGTTCAAACCGGATCAAACCGGATGGAACCGGTTCAAACCGGGTGAAACCGGTTCAAACCGGATCGATCCGGATCAAACCGGTTTAAACCGGATCAAACCGGATGGAACCGGATCAAACCGGATGAAACTGGTTCAAACCGGATCAAACCGGATGGAACCGGTTCAAGCCGGATGGAACTAGCTCAAACCGGATCAACGGTTCAAACCTGGTGAAACCGGTTCAAACCGGTTGGAACCAGATCAAACCGGTTCGAACCGGATCAAACCGGATCGAACCGGATCAAACCGGTTCGAACCGGATGAAACTGGTTCAAAACGGATCAAACCGGATGGAACCGGTTCAAGCTGGATGGAACCAGCTCAAACCGGATGGGACCGGTTCAAACTATATCAAACCGGTTCAAACCGGATCAGACCGGATGGAACCGGCTCAGACCAGATCGAACCGGATCAAACCGGTTCAAACCGTATCAAACCGGATGGAACCGGTTCAAACCGGATGAAACTGGGTCAAACCGGATCAAACCGTATGGAACCGGTTCAAACCGGTAGGAACCAGATCAAACCGGTTCGAACCGGATCAAACCGGATGGAACCGGCTCATGAAACTGGTTCAAACCGGATCAAACCGGATGGAACCGGTTCAAGCAGGATGGAACCGGCTCAAACCGGATCAAACCGGATGGAACCGGTTCAAGCTGGATGGAACCGGCTCAAACCGGATCAAACCGGATGGAACCGGTTCAAGCTGGATGGAACCGGCTCAAACCGGATGGAACCGGTTCAAACCGGGTGAAACCGGTTCAAACCGGATGGAACCGGATCAAACCGGATGAAACCGGTTCAATCCGGATCGAACCGGTTGAAACCGGATCAAACCGGATGGAACTGGTTCAAACCGCATGAAACTGGTTCAAACCGGATCAAACCGGATGGAACCGGTTCAAACCGGGTGAAACCGGTTCAAACCGGTTGGAACCAGATCAAACCGGTTCGAACCGGATCAAACCGGATGGAACCGGCTCAGACCGGATCGAACCGGATCAAACCGGATGGAACCGGTTCAAACCGGATGAAACCGGTTCAAACCGGATCAAACCGGATGGAACCGGATCAAACCGGATGAAACTGGTTCAAACCGGATCAAACCGGATCAAACCGGTTCAGACCGGGTGAAACCGGTTCAAACCGGTTGGAACCGGATCAAACCGGTTCGAACCGGATCAAACCGGATCGAACCGGATCAAACCGGTTCAAACCGGATCAAACCGGATGGAACCGGTTCAAACCGGGTGAAACCGGTTCAAACCGGATGGAACCGGATCAAACCGGATGAAACCGGTTCAAACCGGATCGATCCGGATCGAACCGGTTGAAACCGGATCAAACCGGATGGAACTGGTTCAAACCGCATGAAACTGGTTCAAACCGGATCAAACCGGATGGAACCGGTTCAAACCGGGTGAAACCGGTTCAAACCGGTTGGAACCAGATCTAACCGGTTCGAACCAGATCAAACCGGATGGAACCGACTCAGACCGGATCGAACCGGATCGAACCGGATCAAACCGGATGGAACCGGATCAAACCGGATGAAACTGGTTCAAACCGGATCAAACCGGATCAAACCGGTTCAGACCGGGTGAAACCGTTTCAACCCGGTTGGAACCGGATCAAACCGGTTCGAACAGGATCAAACCGGATCGAACCGGATCAAACCGGATCAAACCGGATGGAACCGGTTCAAACCGGATGAAACCGGTTCAAACCGGATCGATCCGGATCGAACCGGTTGAAACCGGATCAAACCGGATGGAACTGGTTCAAACCGCATGAAACTGGTTCAAACCGGATCAAGCCGGATGGAAACGGTTCAAACCGGGTGAAACCGGTTCAAACCGGTTGGAACCAGATCAAACCGGTTCGCACCGGATCAAACCGGATGGAACCGGCTCAGACCGGATCGAACCGGATCAAACCGATTCAAACCGGATCAAACCGGATGGATCCGGATCAGACCAGATCAGATCAGACCGAACCGGATCAGACCGAACCAAACCGGATCAGACCGGACGAAACCCAATCAGACCGGACCAAACTGGACCGGACCGGACCGGATCAGACCGGATCAGACCGGATCGGACCGGACCAAACCGGACCAAACTGGACCAGACCAGACCAGACCGGGCCGAACCGGATCAGACCGGACCGAACCGGAACGAGCCGGATCAGACCGGACCAGACCAGACGAGACCAGATCAGACCAGTCCGAACCGGATCAGACCGGACCACACCGGATCAGACTGGACCGAACCGGACCGAACCGGATCTTGTAAATAGAGAGGAACATGCTGAATTCCTCCAAATAAATGAGTGACTGGATAACCAAATGATTTAATAAATGAGTGTAATCTAGGCTTCCTCCAGGGTGGTTCTTTCTGTGTAAAACAGTTCGATCTTGGAGTCACCTTGAAATGCTGAATACATAACAAGGCCAATCAACAGAGTTTGCTTCTGAATATTCATGCATAGATGATGCTCCCAGTCAATATGTTTGATTATTTTTCTGTTTACTGAGAACAACTTAATCCTCCCAATCGCTATAACCACAATCCTTGGAGTCTTCTTCAATGCCTTTTATTCAAACCCTTTATCCAATCTACCTGAGAATCCTGACGGCTCTAACTTTATAAAATTCCAGAATCTGATGGCTCACAATCCCCCTGGCCCTGGCCCAAGCCACCTCTTCCGTGGATGTCTGCAATAGCTTCCTAACTCCCTCTATCTCTATAGAGATCTCCTCCCTCTATCATCTATTCTTGGCATAGGGGCCTGAGTGAACCTGTTCAGGCCTTAACTCCTCTGCTCCCAGTGGCTCCCACCTCACTCACCCTTCCAGTAAGGTGGTTACACAATCTGGCTTCACCTGACTGATCTCTCACTCCTTGCCCTGCTCCAGCACTAGCCTGCTGTGATTCTTCACACATCTGCCTCAAGGCCTTTGCACTCACTGCTCCCTCCCTGTCTTCCCAAAGACGCCCTCATGGCTCTTCTCTCACTTTCTTCAAAAATCCCAACTCTATCGTTGTACTGTGAATTCCTCAAGGAAGAATGTGATGTATCACTCACAGCACTTTTTAGTCCAATGCATGACATTCAATCAATTTTTGCTAATGGAATACCCAATGGTATTAATAATCAGTATATATGGAGAAAACCTTACTAGCCACAAAACACTCACATGTAGCTTCTCTAACCACAACTCCAGGAAAATGCAGTCATATTCCCATTTTACAGATGAGGAAAACGAGGCTTAGAGAGGCTAAGAGTATTTCATAAGTTATTTGGTAGCAGAATTAAGTGTTCAAGCTGAGCTCTTCTAGCTTTTAGATGTAACTCCAGCAACTCTGGAAAGTGTAAAGCAAAAGAAAACACCAACACAGTCCATTTTGCCATTTCACTGTAATGCTGAGTTGGGTGCCCCCCAAGTCCTTCCCACTCCACTGCCCTGTACCAGCCCCTACTGCATACGTCTATCAACGACTTGGAGGAAGATGGTGGCGTGGTGCTGGAGATTATTCTCCTTGGGGTTCTTCACATGGCAGGTGTATTTGCCCGTGTCGCTGAACTCCAGGTCCCTCAGCACAATGGAAATGTTGTTCATCTTCTCCTTAGTAGAGCCTACCAGAGTGATGCGGTCATCGTCTTTCAACGTCACCTTGGGGTCAGACTTCTCATTCTTCACAGTCCCCTCTATGAGCTGGTGGAGGAAAGGCGTTGGAGAGAGAAGGTGGCCAAGAAAGAATCAGGGTCCTCAAGGGTCATGACATCACACCAGCCCACTCCTTGAGTACCTTCCCTGTCCAGGACCAGGAAGAGCCTGCAGTCACACCCTGCTCCTTCCCCCCACAGTTTCCTCTTCCAGCGTCAATAGCTCTGCCTGTTTAACCTGAATTTTGCTTGTTTCAGGCTAAACCCATTTCCTTTTATTAAGGTCTCCCTGGAATGCAGCACAGCTCTTACCGCTCTCTTCATAAAAGCCTTTTATGTAATGACTCCTGCAAACACTGAACTCATTTCCCTCTGTCACCTCCCACCCAGCCTCTGCTGACACCATGCGCATCTGAATTCTGGCCCTCTATCAAGACCTGGATCAATCCCACAGCTCTGCCCGTCAGCACCCTCTGAGGTCAGCATTTAATTATAACCAGAGTTGGTCTCTTGTGGCTTCCCTGTGAAAGTCTCAGGTTGGATCCCCCACTAGATTGTAGAGTGAGTACTCAATAAATACCTGTTGATTGGTTCACTCCCACTCCCATCGCAGCCCCACCAATGATCCTGCAGCTCTCCCTCCTCTCTCCCTTCTTCTCTCCTTTCCCTGCCAGTCCAGCCTCATTTAGACTCTTCTCATTCCCTCTCTCCAAGCTTTCCAAGGCCTTTGTCTCTCCTGTTTGTTAGACTAAACTATTGATTTTTAGACAAGCAGTCCAAGCTCCGGGTATTTCTTAAGACCAGACGGAAGACTCTAGCCAAGAATTCCAACAGTCCCCGAATGCTGGCAACACGATCTATGCATCTCTCCCAGTTACATTCTTCCTGGCAGGCTCTGAAAAGAATACTGGGAGAAAGGGTGGCAAAAGGTTCTGGGGACCATCGCAGTGGTTCTCAGTCCGGAAGTGACCAGAGCCTGGGAGGGGAGGCATGGGTAAGGGAGGCTGGGCTGTACTGTCCTTCCTCCAAATACTTACAATCTTGAATGCGTCACTGCTGTTGTAGGTCCACCGGAAGTGGAGGTCCTCGAAGCCAAAGCAGCTGGAGAAGGTGCAGGGCAGCAGGATCTCCGTGCCGTTGACAGCGTAGATGTTGGTGGCCTTTCCCACAGACACCTCCAGCGACAGGGTTACGGGGAGCAGGAAGAGGCCTGTGTAAGGAGCACCGCCTCCTTAATAAAACCCCACCAAAACCTCAGCCTGGAGCTCTGGAAGGGGATGCTCGGACAGGGCGGAATGACTTGGCCAGCAGGGAGGTCTCTGTCACCCTCCGTCCCAACTTCGGGAGGATGGCTCTCTACTCCAATTAACACCGTCTGGGCTGCCCTCCATCATTCTCCATTTCTCCCCTGGAAAGGACTGAATTCTGGATCAGGGAGTAGCCCTTGTGGCGCTCTGGATGACCACCAGGGGTCACCCCAACCCAAGGAAACGAAGGCCTGGCCGCTGCCGCGAACCGCGCCCGCTCCGCCCCTCATCTGGGGACGCAGTGCCTGGAAGCGCTCCTGTCGCACCCACCCCAGGACGCGCAGGGTGGGCTCCCTTCTGTTTGCAGGGGAGTTCCCCTAGGACAGTGCGCACCTCCCGCCAGGTTTTCAGGACTGGCGGGCGGGGCGGGCGGGGCGGTCAAGGGTGGGGGAAGAGCCGGGTCCCGTAAGGTGAGGAAGAGAAACGCGGCCGCCGCAGTCCCGGGCTGCCGTCCAGCAGCCTCTCGTTCCCCCGTACTGGAGGCTCCTCCCTGGCCCCCAGGGGCTGAGAGGCAGAAGGACACGTTCGGGCTGGACCTCGCTGGGTCAGCCGAGTCCGACGCCCTCTGGCCGCCAAACGGGAGCCTGGGAACCGCAGGAAGACTGCCGGGCGGGGAGGAACACGGCGCGGGTGGGGACGAACGCGGGTCTTGGAGCTGGGCAGCCGCGGGGGCGCGCGGGCGCAGCCAGGGTGGGAAAGTCACAGGCAGAAGCCACCCTGGGGAGGGATTCCCGGCCAGCCCAAGTGCACGCGCGCGGGGGCGGGACGGGGAGGGCGCTGGACACGCGGTCCCCTCCTGAGCCCAGCAGCCCGGCCTCCCTGCCACACTCCGCCCCCTCGTCCCCGTGCGTCCCCGAGCGCCCCTAGGCTTCTTTCTCACGCTTCGAACCTCCTCCCCAGCACTCCGATGCGACCCCTCTCCGCTGGGACAAGGCCGCTCCGCTCACGGCCTCCAAACTCCCGCTCCGTGTCCTTGTAAGGGGGCCTGGTTCCCCGCCCCCTCCCCACCCCATGTCCTGCAGATGCCTCAAGGAAACCCCACTCGCCTCAAGGTCGGTGGGGGCGGGTGTCCGGAAGTGGATGCCTGCCTCTCCTCGTCCCTAGGGGAAACTGGCACCTTCCACCCGCACTCTCAGGAAGGCCCTGTGTTGTCTAACTTAATTCCCTGTTCTGCATCATAAACCTCTTGTTTTGCCCCCACCAGATGATAATGCGTCTTAGCAATGCTTTTCAAATGACAGAAAAGGATTTCCAAGGAGAGCTGGTAGCCCTGCCGGCTCAGCTTCTTCCTGTGCCCTTAACTTCTGATGACAAAGTGGAGTGCTCATAGCCCCAAGCCCTAAAATCACTCCCCGTGGTCCAGTAATCCCACCGGGATCCAGCCACTGCCGGTGACAGTAGTAATAACTGATATTAACTGAGCATCTACTATGTGCCAGGCACATTTCATCCTCACCTGTCCTATGAGTCACCTACTATTATAGGTCCACATTGTAGGTGAGACAACTGAGCCTGGAGAGGTTAGGTAACTTGCCTGCGAGATCCGGATCTGCCCACCAGGGCTCTGATTAGTGCTGGGAAGTTATTTCAATTAGCCTTCATTTTTGGTCAGCTTCTAGGATTCATGGCCAGCCAGAATTTGTTCTAGAGCCATGGTTTTCAAACTTGAGAGTCATCAGAATCCCCTACAGAACAGCTACAGCTGGCTCCACCCAGCCCCTGGAGTTCTGATCCAGAAGGTCTGGAGTGGAACCTGAGCTTTTACATTTCTAAAAAGTTCCTAGGAGATGCTGTGAGCAGGGACCACACTCCGAGAACCACGGTGCCAGAGGATTTGTGGATACTAACTCCAACTTTTATTAGAATGCTCAAAGGCATGTATAATGTTCCCATTTTATATATGATGAAATTGAGGCTCAGACAGGTTAAGTTGACTTGCCCAGGGCCACACAGTAAATGGTGAATTTGAGACTGAGCAGTTACTATAGGATAGGAGAGGTATTTTATATACACTGTCTCATCATAATCCTTTAGGTTACTATTATTAACCTTCATCATAATCCTATAAGTTACATTTTCCTTCTCAATAAACAAATGAGGAAACAGGCTTAAAGAGATTACCTTGCTCATGGCCACACACCCAGTGAGTGGCATAAGCAGCATTCAGATATTAGCCCCCCTTTCACCACTCTGTGACCAACCGTGCTCTCCAAGAAAACACTGATCAGGGCTTAGCATTCCATAGAACTCCTGCCTTTCTGTTTATCTCTGCCCTCCTCCGCCCCATCTCCCCCAGAGGTCTAAGGACAGAAGCCAGACACAAGATCCCACTCTCCAGTCTGCAGCCAGCACTAGAACCTTCTGGTGGGAGACACCGACTCTGCTTCTCACCCTCCGTAGCCCCCACAAACAGGAAGTGAATGCAGAGCAGTGGACAGGGAAGCTGTCAGACAACGCAGCTTCCTGATAGCTAATGGCCTCCCTCAGGGCACCAAGGAGTGTGGCTGCTCCTCATCAGCATACCGGTCCAGGAATCAGGGTCCCGGAGGAGATGGGGCAACTCAAATCAGTGCCCAAATCTCCCCACCTCAACCCCAGCCAGAAAGAGATATTCAAGAGCACAACAGATGCATGCGAAAAGGGAAATCTTGTTGGTTGCTTTAAATAGAAGCAAAAATGAGCAAAAGACGGGTCTAGAAGAGAGGAGTACACTATTTCTTTAAGGTCTGGCTCATGACACAGTACACATTTCTGCCTGATTTGTGTGCGTCTATGTGGATGACTTAACTCCAATACACTCAGGACTCTGCAAGTGAAGCATTGCTACTTCCTCAGTAGCTGGAAGGGGAAAATGAAAACCGACAGAAATGGTTTCACAGAGTCCAGAGCCCTGTCCAAGTGAAAGCGTCAGAGAGGGGGAGCAAGCCTGGCTTCTTCAGCGCACAGCCCTCCCAGCTGGGAGTCATGCAGTCCGGCCAGTTATGTCTGGGAGGGTCATGCACGAGAAAGCTGAGGGGCCTGCCTCCCACTGAACTCAGTGTCTCCTACGAGGTTGCTCTGGGGGAGAGGGAGGAACCAGGGGCAGGTGTTGGTCCACAAAGGCCCCCCGAGGGCTGCTTCAGGATGACCAACCCTGGAGAGGACTGGTGAGCATGCGCAAGACAGGCCCCACTCTGCCAGCTGACCTTGAGAAAGTCAGAGGTGCCACATCCGGTGTGCGTATCCCCAAGCCAGGGCAGGGATACCTCTTTCCTACTTCTCAAGGTTGGTGTGAAGCCAAAACAGGAGATTGTAAAACACAAGAGGGGCTTCCATGAGTGGGCACCCTGCAGATAGAGGAGGATGGTATTTGAAAGGGGAGCAGGGGACATGGGTATCCCTCATCACAGGTAGCCAGGGCACCCCTAGCTTCCCTGAATAACCAGTGTCAGCCAAGAATGTCTCCAGGCCATTCCCACATTGATCTGTATTTTCACCCTGTACCACTTCTTGGCTTATTTCCATGTGGCCGTTTCCCTGGAGTAAAGAAAGCCTTGCTTTGCTCTTTTCTGAACTTAATTCTAGAATGTTAAAGTGCACATGTGTGTGTTTGAGAGTGGGGAGCCTCTTTCTGGCATTGTGGACTTGAGGAACAACTCTTCCCAGTCATGATCCCGTGGAATTCCATCCTGAACCCCAAAACCTTGCTTTTCCTCCCTAAAAGGCCCTATCCACTTAGCCACTCTCAGAGCAGCTATTTTCTTTGCCTTCTCTGAAGTCCTCGGCCCCCTGCCATCCTATCTGGGGTTTTGTCTGAGGACTGACTCAGGAACACTTTTGTTAAAGTGGAAAAGTATTCAGCACATGCAAATCACATTATTAAATATTCACACCAGCAGGAATCTTATGGCAGCTACCATTTATCCCAAGGCAAATGTGGAGGCAGGAAACATTCCACCACCTTTTCCCACATCCAGGGATCACTCACAACCACCCCAGGAAAGAGGGGCAGGCTGGTAGCCACTCTAAGTGTAGCTCTGAGGGCTTGCTGGCACGGCGAGTGGACACACGGCTGACTTTGATAGGGAGGCTGATACACTCTGGCCCAGGGAGAGTTAGAAAGGCTCAAAGTTAGAGCTGGGTGCAGAAAGTGGGCCGAGGCCAGCAGGACAGGACCCCTCCTGGGGTGCAGGCCCTGGGGGCTTTGGGAGGCAGGGCTGGGCCAGGCAAGGCCCCTGGGCCCAGAGACAAAGGAAAGATTTCAGTTCCCTCTCCCTAGGCAACCTGCCTGCTTCCTGCCCACCCCCAGGAGCTTTGCTGGGATGAAAGCATGCCCCTGAGACAGCAGGGGATGCTCAATGAAACCAGCTTTGCAAACAAGTCCCAGCAGCATGCCTGTCCCTCCTCTTACAGGCCAGAGAGCAGGTTGTGCTGGCATGGCCCACCCCTGGCTTATGCAAAGATTCCTATACCTCCTTGAGGACTGGCAGCAGGGCAAGATGGTCTGCTGTGCCCAGTCTCCCTCTCATGCTGATCCCACCAGAAGGGAGCCAGTCAAAAGAGCTTTGGGACTCCAGCCTTCTCTCCCAGGTGCCCCCACAGGCTTGCACCTCCAGCAGGTTCAGAAGGAGAATTAAGCGTGTTTTCCAGGTTCAAACCCAGGATTCCAGATTCAAACTCCCTCCACTTCTCCCCTTTCCTCTCTTCTTCTCCACAGTCTCCTTGCTTCTTCTTTCCTTTTTCTCCCTCTGAGTGGGACTGTGCACCCTCTCCTTAATTGCATTCTCATTAAACAAGCCGTTAATAAGCACACACCAGGGGAAATAGGGTTGTGCAACAGAGCACCCTCACAAGTGATAATTAAACACAGATCACAGCAATTAAGTAAATGGGGGAACAAGGAAGGAGTGGGCAGGACAGAGAGATTACCAGTTACATGCTTAGGAAGAGATAGGAAAGCACATAAACCTCAATTGCAATAATACAGCCTTGGAAACTGCTTCTCAGTTTAAGAAAAGGGCATTTTGTTAGGTTATCAGAAATCACTTTGGTCTCAGTCTGTGAGACTGGGTTTGATATGGGAAGAGGGGAAGAGGACTCCTGGAAGTTCACTGCTCTGTACCCAGTCTCCAAAGCTATGAAAATAGCAGCTCTAGGCCCCCCAAGTCTTTATCCTTCCACGCCCATGCCCCAGAGCCTCACTTATTCTTCAGCCCTAAGCACAATCCCTATTAACCTTCCCCCTCACCAGACTTGAGTTAACTGGGAAGCAGCGTGGTGTGACAGAGCCCAAGAAACTCAGATTCTGTCCCACTTGGCCATCAATTGGCCATGCGCCCCTAGACAAGTCACCATCCCTCTCTGGACCATGACTTCCTCATCCCTAGGAGAATTCTGTGCTCTGCTTCCCAAAGTCCCTGCCAGCTCTGATGCTCCCAGGGAACACTTCCAGTTGGCTGTCCAGTCATCTCTGTGTCTCCCCTACTGGACTGACAGCAAGGATGTCATCAATGCCCCTGTGAGGGCTCAGTCAGTGTTGCCTGGTCAAGGGCCAAAGGGACCTTGGTTGGAGTCCCTCTGCAGACCAGAGGGGCAGGGGACAGGGCAGATGAGGCCAGTCCTGGTGCCGGCAGGTCTCCCACCTACAAGTCACTCTGCTGTCTCCTGGGCTCCCAAAGCGTAGCTCAGAAATTCATCTAAACCTCCATCAACAGGCCTTAGCCCCTACCTGGTCTATACACCTGAACAGTCCTTGGAGAAGGTGGGGCTTCCACCTGGAGAAATGTACGGAGACTATGCCCACAATCCCCCTTACACACATGCGCGTGCGCGCACACACACACATACATCATTTTCAGAGCCCTCTCGGTTGTCCACAGAGGCCTGGTTCTATGAGTATTCTAACAAACCAGGGACTGGCATCCCCCACCCAGGAACAGAAGCCAGAGGTGTGAAGTGGGGTCGTTTAATGACTGACTGAGTTTGAATTCCTCAGTGACCCTTTACCCCTGCCATTGCCACCATGGGGACCTGGGCTGATCTGAGATTCGATGGGGGGAAGAAGCATGGAATGACGTTGTGCCCACCCTGTGAAAAGGAGCCTCAGGCCTCACTGACGCCCACTTCATTAAGGTCACTGTGAAACCAGCATGACATCTGTGCCAAAGGTACAGGAGAAAACACGGGTGTCTTCCACCTCGCCGTATGGAGGTAAATAAACATCCCAAGTACAAGAAATACTCTCTCCCCTCTTCACCACCAGCCACCAACCTGATAGATCTGCACACAGTTTACATTCGCAGAAATAGTAGCCACTTCCCTTATAGGCTTCTATCTCCCTGTTTTCAGCACAAATACCTACATCGTGTGTCTTTCCCAATGCAGGGAGCTGCCGAAAGCCAAATCTGACCAATATAAACAGGAAGAGATGCCGTTGCCAGAGATGGAGTCGGCTTACATTAAAGTCTGGCTATGATTTATGAGGAGATTACATTCTGGACTAATAAATATCATTCCCTAATCTCTTGGAGTTTGACACTCAAAACTCTCATGTGCATATTAATAGATATTAATAATGCTTCTTCCTCCGTGTCCTCTGGACAAGTCTCCTCTGTCTCCATATTCACTCCAAAAATGAAGAGCCGGGAGCAGGTCAAACAGGTCTTCCCTACGGAATCTCTTTGTAGGAAGACAGACGAGGCCCTTCCTAAAGGGTCTTGAATGATCCCGCAAGCCCCTCCAGCCCCTTCCAGCTTTGGGGTGCTGCTGTGGAGAAGGCAGTGGCTCCTGAGGGAGGTAGAGGGCAGAGGAGCAAAGCAGGAAAAGGGCCCAGGAAGAAGGGGACTCCCCCACCCCCAATTGGTGCATGCCTGGTGCCTGGGAAACAAGCAAACGGCTCTGGGCAGGGATGCAAACCATCATCCCAGCAGTCACACGAGCAACCCACCTGGTACCCCCTGCACCCAAGGCACGGACCCCCTCCTCCAGCATCCTGAACCTCTGAACTCGGGAGACCCGCGCTGCAGCCCCAAGATTCAGCTCCAAAAACCTGGAGCCAAAGGTGCCAGAGACAGCAAAAAAACTCATCCTGAGACTGGCGGGCTGCTGGGGCAGAGAGGGACGCGCACGGTCCCCAGGGAGCACAGCCTATGAACCAGGCAGGAAGCCGGCGGCCACGGTCCGCATTCCGTGCCGCACTCCAAAGCCCACCCTATCCAAGGCATCTTCCTTCTCGAGTGTCCCCTTCTCTGGGGGTGGGGGGAGGCAAGAGAAGAGACCAAGCTGGGGCTGCCTTACCCAAAAGCCCAGTGCCCAGCCATCTCGCCGGGGCTTTGCCTCGGTCCCCAGCCCCGGGCATAGTCCTGTTCTCTCCGGAGGGCGCGGGGGGGCGGGGGGCGCGGGGATGGGATACTGGGCACAGCCGCGCTCTCCGCCCGAGGTCGGCGTTCCGCCACGAAGCTACCCCGGAGCTCTGCGCCGCGGGTCGGGGCTCGGGAAAGTTAGCGGGCAGAGAGCGAGAGGAGGGGGAGGAAAGGAGCGGAGGGGGAGGCGCGCTCGCCCGCTGCTGGCAGCCGGCTGCTGGAGCCGCGGCGGGAGGGAAGGAGGAGGAGGAGCCGGAGCAGGAGCGGGAGGAAGACTGAGCGAGCGCAGCGGCGAGCGAGGCTGCGCCTTTGCTCTGGAAGCGCTCCAGCCGCAGGAGGGGCGGTGGCCGCCGCGGAGCCCAGGGAGCCCCCGCCCGCTGCGCACCCTGCCGAGCGCGCCCCGCCTCGCGGTCCCGGAGCCCCGGGACCAGGCCATACCCCCAACTCCCTCTCCAGTGGGGCTGGGCTGCTGCGGCTGGCACTGCAGGGCCGGCCTGCAGCCACCCGCATCATCCCATGCGCTGAGCTGCCAATTAGGAACATAGTTCAGAGGGGAGTAGAGGTGGAGCTTTTCGGTTGTTGGAAGGCTGTTTTGTTCTGCTTGGGGGAACACGGGAAGGTTAGTGGCTTCCTTTCCCAGGACCGCCAAGAGACCGCTCTAAAGTCCGCAGCGGACACCGCAACAACGGGTGGGCGTGTGCGGGCTTGCCTACTGCAGCCGCGCCTCCTCGGTGGCCGTGCGATTTGGCGCGCGTGCAGCTTCGGGACCCGCTCCCGCCACCTTCAGCCCCATCGCTCAGCAACTCCGGCGGTTGTTTTAGGAAGCCCGGAACAGAGCTTTCCAATTGCAAACTGCCCCCGCCCTCCCTTCCCCCACCCGCCACTCCGCCCCACGTTTCTCCATGGACCCCTTGGAAATCGCCATGCTCCAGGTTAGGGAGCAGGACGGCCCGCTCCTGGTCTGTGTCCTGCGCCCCATTTCCCTCCCCCTGCACCCTGCTCCTCATTTTTCCTACCTAGGCCCTCCCCCTCAGACTCTGCCTTTTCGCCCTCCTCCAACTCTCCGGTTTTCTTCGGAACCGCAGACTCCCTCGGCCTCCCTTTTGGGGTAGGGGTGCAGGAGTCCGAGGTGACAACCAGGTCAGAGGGCTGAGGCGAGGCTGTGAACGAGTAAGCCTTTTCCCAGATAGTCCCAAGTGAAAGAGTTTCACCTGAGCGGTGCTACTTGGGCTGGTGGTTCTGTAAATGAGTAGATCTCCTCCTGAGCACCTTTCCAACCATCCAAGACCCTCCCTGCATCACAGGCCATCTTTACTGTCTAGGACTGGTCCGAACTGGGAAACCTGCTCCCACTTCATGGTCTGACTTCTGCTGCAGGCGCACCAACACGCCACCTTCTTAACAGGGGTCTCTGGGTGGGCTTCGGAGTAATAGCGGACCCCTTGAGGTTGCAGGCAAAATGCTGAATGTCTGTTTGCTTTCTCAGGAGAGAGGGTCGCTGCCTTCCCTATAGTGGCACAGAGGCTCCGGCAGCGCCACCATTTATGACTGTATGGCTTTGAGCAAGTTACACAGTGTTCCCGGGGAGCCTCTGCTCCTCATCTATAAAATGGTGAATGCAATAATATTTGCCTCCTAGGCATACTAAGAGCAATGTTACCCCTAGACTTGGGCAACAGGAGCCTCAGCCCTGGATTCCTGGTTTCAAAGGCCCTCATTCTGGCCCTCCTCCGGCCATGCCCCTTCTCACTGGAGAATGAGTCCATGGGACCAAGGGGGCAGGGCAGACAGGGACATGCACCTCCTCCCCTTCCAGACTGTACTCTGGGTATCAGGAACCCTGGAATTCCCCCTATTCCCCAGATCTGTCCTTTCAAGAGCTGACCATATCGGGTGTACATTCAAGGGCTAGAGCAGTGGGCAAGGGACAGCTGTTTGCAGGTGGTGGGGAACGCATGGAACTTGACATACACCCCAGGCATGCACAGGAGCCCCTCTGCCTACAGGACCAGAGAAGAGCGTGTACCAGAGAATGGCCTGAAAGTTTCATTTTGGACATGGTTTTCCAGGTTATCATGAAGGAAAAGTAATTAAAGGCAGATGATAAAACATCAATCTTAACACTTTGCTTTCCTGATTAACATTTAGACATATGTATGATTTCCATTTGTATCTTTGCTCCAGGCCTTGCAACATCAGAAGTGGACCTAGCCGTAAAGAGGGAATGAGGTATTATTGCATGTAAAAGTGCTTAGCAGACTGCTAGGCACAGGATAAACACTCAGTCCGTTTGAACTTAAAGAGGTCTGTGGGCCCTGAGGCTGAGCCTCCCGCTGTGTCTCCAGGTTCGAAGGCTTACCCTGTCCTTCCCCCAGGAGGTCCTTGCACTAGATCAGCAGGGCCAGGCACACAAACTGACCACTTTATTTTTACAGCAGGGGTCATGTTTCTCAGAGCCCTAGACTGAGGTGAGAGAGGCGGTGAGCCAAAGGGAAGGAAAGTGACCCCTGCCCAGAGCAGGGGGAGGAGAGGGCCAGAGCTGCAGGGCTATCTGTAGATCCTGGTGACAGGAAAAGGTGGCCAGTGTCCTCAGTGCCCTCTCCCCACCTTCCCTGCTGCCTCACTGCTACCTCACCAATTCGTAGAGTTTGAAGGGTCCATAGGCAATCCCCATGCCTTAGGGAGGAAGAAAGAGGCTCAGAGAGGTAGAATGCGTAACCCGAGGTCACCTAGAAAGTTACTGCTAAAGTCAGGGTTAGCACCTCCCCCATTACTTGATTTCCCCAATCCACACCCCCAGCTTTCCTCTAAAGAACTCCAGGAGGGCTCCGCAGCTGGGCAGAAAGAGTGCTTGGGAAATGCATTAGCTTAAGGGCTAGAGGATTTTTACATTTATAGAGCACTTTCCTCAAAAATTCTCAAAAACCCAGCCCATCGATCTAACTCAGAGGCTCCTACTGAGGATGCCAGGGGAGAGGGTGTCAAAAGGTCAGAGCTCCTTCTCTCTTACCTTTTAAAACTATCTTTTCCAGGGCCCTCCCTGATTTAGTACCTCCTCACCCAGCTCAAGAGTCCCCAGTCACTGGATAGGGACAGGAAGAAACAGATACCACACCTTGGCTCCTGTCCCTTCTGCTGGAAGTCCCTTGGGGGAGGGCAGGGGTGGTATCTGGGGACACAGTCCCCAGCCACGGTCAGACAAGCCCGATTCCTGGTGATGGGGTAATGCACACACAGCTCTTGGGTGGCCTAGCTCAGAAATACATTGAAGAGCCAGTTTTCAAAGATGCAGAGGCGGATTGGGCCCTGTGCCACAGAGTTGTCAGAGAACTGCCCGCTCTCGGGCTGCAGGAGACAAGGCCTAGATTTAAGGGGAAGGAGATTGTTTCCTTGGGGATTCACGTAGGGTTCTTTGAAGCAGTAAGCCCAACAAAAATCCTCAGAGACCAAGCAACTGACTCAGCTGGTCTCCTCTCCCCTGCCCTCCTAGGGAGCTGAATCTGAGCTAGGAAGGAGGGTGGGTGCCTGTTTTCCAGGAGGGCCAGCCTAGAGAGGAATCAGCATGCCCTAGGGGAAGTCGGGTGGGCAGGAATGGGCCGAGCTCCAGCTGCCAGCCTCCAGAGCTGCCCTTACACTGGAAGGCATTCACCCCTGGAGCGGGATCACCTTGTACAGATGATCAGGGTGGGTACATGGAAAGTGCTTCCTCCCCTGTCAGTTCTCAGACAGCCATCGAGACCCTGTGCAGAGGAGGAAGGGCAACAGAGAGCTCCAAGGAGGTCTCCAGCGCTATTTTGAGAGGAGCTCCTCCTAAGTAACAAGAGCCTGGCAGGGAGCCTCCTCCTACTCTGGCTCCCCTATTGCCCTTGCCCGCCCGCCTCCCTCTCCCTCCTCTTCCCCCATAAACCCTCGCGCTCCTGCCGGGGCACTGCAGGTAACAGAGGGAGCTCAGCGCAGCGCTGACTCGGCTCTTGGAGCTGGAGGACAACGGGCTCTGCAGGGAGCCCGCCTCCCCCACCACACACCCCCCTCACAGCTCCTCTCCAGATCAACACCAAGATGCATCTGCCCCTCTCCTTCCCCGAGCTACTCCCTGGTTGTAACCAGAGCCCCCGTCTCAGGATGGGGAAACTGCAGGCAGGAGATTCTCTCTACTTGCACTAACTTAAAGTTAAATGTGCGCAAATCCTTCTGCCACTTGGGTTGGGGTTAGGTGACGCTACCTGGACAAACTTTTGGAGGCTTCCTTCTGCTGCACCAAGGTCTGCCCTCTACCCCTCCCTACTCACCACTCCCTTCCTCCAGCTCAGAGCACCAGCTTGGCCCCAGCCAGAGTCTCAGCGTCCACTGAAGTTTGGCAGGTGCCGAGGGGGTTAACAGGACAGCATGCACCAAACCAACCCACAGGCACGAGGCTTAGCAGTCCAGCAAGGAACACCACACAGAGTCCACCTCACACCAGCGAGTTGGAGTAAAGACAAACTCTTTCTGAACCCTTCTCCCGAGGAGAGTGGATCGCTTCTTCTCACTCCTCTGCTTTCTAGGGGCTCTGGGCAGAGGCAGGTAGGAAGCCACCTCCTCAATCCCTCCCTTCCTCTGTTTCTGTTTTCTGCCAGGTTCTGTCCAAACATCCTTTCAGGCTAAGGTGGGTAGGGAGCCCCAGACAGATGAGCTCATTGGAAGGAGGCGGGCAGAGGGAGGAGGGAGCTGGAATATCCTGACCAGAGGGATGCTCACCGGCCAGTCCCGAGCTGGAGAGGGTGTGCGCCCACTTCCGGGAGCAGGCATGTGCTGCCCTTGCAGTAGCTCCGAGACGGGGTGAGTCCTGGACATCTCTTTACTATAGGCCACACTGGGGTGGGGTTTGAAGCCCCCGGGGCAGGGTGTCAACCACCCTACCCAGCACCCCAGAGCTATATTTCTCTCTCTACTTCATGGGTCACCATGGCCCCCTGCCTGTCCATCAAGGGAGGACGGTGACTCGGGAGGGCTGGGAACTGGAGGCTTTGGGAAGGTTTGTCATCCATTGCAGCCTGTCTCTCGCAGGACTGCCTTGTCAGCTGAATAGCCAGATACCCTCCTGGCTGGGTCTGAAATGGGCACCTGAGACAGACTGAGCAAGCCAGAAGCACAGCATAGCACGGAGTACCTGGCAGGACTCCCCAGATGCTCTGGCTTCATGCATTAGGAGCATTTAGTGTGGGAGCAGTGGGTCTTGCAAAGTGAGGGAGAGGGAGGATGTGGACCAGGAGAGGAAATGTGGCAGAGATGGTGGGGGGCAGATGAGAGGAAGAGAGGAGGTCT